GTGGGGGTGGGGGTGGGGGGTGGGGGTGGGGGTGGGGGTGGGGGTGGGGGCATCGAGGACCAAGGGGGGGCTTGAAAGGGCCTACGGTTTAATTTTTCCCCAAAAACCTCTGGGAGGCCATGGACAGGGGATTGTGAAACCGCCAATACTGTGATGAAAATAGTCATCCCTTCGTTCTCGTGATTCAACTGCCATAACACTGAGCCCCTCTCCATCCGAAAGTTCTGCCTATGCCATATTCCAGAAAAGGGAACATTTCCTCACCGACTTTGAAATGGAAGCAAGAGTTTGGAATCCGTTCGAGGAGATATTGCATTCTGCATCCATTAATAGGCTTTCGGGACGCGATGAAGCATCCATTTATCCGTTAATATCACGAAATGCAAGCCACGAAAATCACACCCACCTCCCAGGACGGCTGCAGACGCTGCACTGGCAGGGACGGCGTGCCTCTGATTGGCGCGAACAGCGGGGACGCGTGCCTCTGATTGGTGCGAACAGCAGCGTCACGTGATTCCTGCCGTGCCGCGGGGTTCGAGCATGTCTCGACTGTGGAAAGTGACTCGAAGTGGGGTGGATTCATAGCTTATGCAAAGGCATGATTTTTTTTGTCACAGTGCGGACATTGGTGAAGTAAATAATCCATGTGCATCAGGATTATCATAAAAATATGATAAGCCTGGAGAATTTAAGGTGGGACATGCGTTAGGCCTATGATTGGTTTCACTTGGGCTAAGATAACTTACCCAAATATTTTTTTGATAAGACAAAAGCTCTTAACACCATGATACGACCTGTTTTTCTTCATGTTGGGCCCTGGCCTATCACAGAAGCCTAGGGACTGCTGTCATTATACAAGGTGGAGCATAATTACCTAACAAATGGACTTTACTGGAAATTATAGTTTTATATGTTAAGTTTTATGTTGCATTTTTAAATACAGCCAATTGGGAATAATTGATACATGGAAAAATACCAAACCAACGCTTAAGACAAAAGAAATGTTAGAATTGTTACCCCTTTTGCTTTCATTACATAAATCTACTCAGTAATTATGCTCCACCCTATTAATTTCCATATGCATGAGTTTAGAAGTGAGCTATTCCTAGGCCTAGGTCAGCTAGAAATGAGGCTGATTAGTCATTACTTGGCCTGAGTTTAATTTTCCTTAGTGTTTCACCTATTTTCCAAATGATTGTGTTGCTCACTCAGAACTGGGTAGCACAAAGTAAACTGGCCTAAGGTATAGCTTTGATCTTGCTGTGTTTGTTGGGATAGGCCTATGCCTGGGGTTAGCCAGTACCCAGAGTTTTGCAAATGAGTTGTGTGGCCTATTCTCTACTATGAACTCACTGCTGCATGTCAAGTCTGTTCAATATTGTGGTATGAACATGAATTTGAGCTCATTTAAGTTAATTTCTTTGCAAGGAAAGACTGGTACAAGTTTAATATGTACTATTTTGATGGGATGAAGTCCATGGTGAGTCAGTCAGAAAAAGCAGAGTCAAAGCCTTGCATACTCCTTAGAAATGCTTGTAAGGCCTCTCTTGGCTCAATGGCTCAATGTCTATGTCAGTTGGTGAGGTTGAATTGATATATGAGGAAGCAGAGGCTGGGCCTAGGAATTCCTTGAAGGCTTATCTTTTCTCTGACTTAGTTTTCCTCTTTTGGAACACAAGGATAACTTAGGTTCCTTATTGATGAAAACTATAAAAAAAATATGGCTCTCTCCCTGTATCATAATGGTAAATAATTGCATCAGCTTGCAAAACAGGAAGTTTCATTTAATATATATGAATTAAAGAACAACTATTTGATTGAATGAAACATGACAGCTCCAGCCTTTGAACCTTTTGTTTTTCTTGCTGTAGAAAATTTTTTCTGTTGCTGTTCCTAAGCTCTGTGTTGATTGAGCATTGCATCAATTGATTGGCTATCATCATTGATGGCTGCATCCAGAGGCCCATAATACAAGTATTTCAAAGACTTGTATGAAGGCAAGGAACCACAGAACCCAAAGCAGACTGTCTTGACTTAAAAAAAAGTTTAATGCTGGCATTTCCACTCAATGGTGAACGTGTGACTGTTGTCACTGCGAGCAGTGTGCCTAACACATTTCTGGGAGTGACTCCAGAAAACCTGACCAGCATCCATCAGGGTTGAATGGTTGCTCTCTTAGCGAATGTCTGGGTTCATTCGGGCATCCTGACATTCCTAAGGAGTCTTAATGTGATGGGGAGAGGGTGGGTGGCTATTAAAACTAATATAAACAACTCAGGTAGAGACACAGAAGAAATGGCATATTTTTCCACTGTGACTTCTCCATAGCTAGAGGTGGAAAACACAAAATCCTTGATGCAGCCATTAAATGAAGGCTCCATTGTCACCTTGGGTCAAGCAGTCACAATGGCTTTTGTGTCCATGTGGCCAACAAAGATGGCAATGCAGCATCTTTTGGAACATTTGAGCATCTTTTGGAACTTCTTTCTGTGGTTCTCACAAGCAGCTCATTGCTATCAAAGACTGTATGCTGATTCCAGAATTTTTTTTCCTGAAAATTTTTGACTGAATCTAAATCTAGAAAGCTCTGGAAAAAAAAGTCTAAATCTCCACAGGCTTATCTCCTCTTTTCCTCTCAAAATTTAAGGAATTGTCAAGGAAATCTTGGATTTAGATGGTCGGCTGGCCCACTCTCTGGTGCTAGTTTCTCATTTGGTCTGTGATACCAGGACTTTGATTCAGGGACTTAAGCAGTTTAATTGGTACTTTGAATGCACATGGTGTCTAAATGGTGGGAAGAGAGTTAAAAAAAGGAAATAGTGAGAAACATGTGTATTTGGGCACCAAGTCACTGAAATGAAGGAGCTTTTTTTCTCTGTTGACAATAGCATTTGAATCTCTTATTCCTCTTGTTCATCTATCTTTGTTCAATATGGTCCATGGCTTTGTACTTGACCAGCTTGTTTTGACCTTGAAGGTAGTCACCATTTGGAGTTGCTTGACCTCCGATTTTCTTTTTTTGAGGCTATTTTTGCCGGCTGTACCACGAACTTAGAACCTTGCCAAGATCCTTGCAATAAGTTTGTCGATGGAGCCCTTATTTCTTTAAGCGGCGATCGTATTCCTTCCAATCTCATCATAAATTGTGCAAATCCCTTCTGCAAGTAGCTGTTTTGAATGGGCTCATAACTGACTTCTGATTTAAAAAATCAGCAGGTACTTGGTAGCTGCAATAAAATGGATCTTCACAGTTTCCAATGTGACTTTCACTTGCCCTCACAAGCACTGAGTCACAGTGAACCCCATTTCTTGACCTCCCCTTACCCTTACCCCTTGGCCCTATTGGAAGGTTCACAGACCGGGTCCACGGGATTCGCCGCCAAGCGAGGGAGAACAGATTCATTAGGAGAATGTGCGTTGAGCGGGTTGACCCGAGGTCAGACCTTTCGTCCCTCCCTTACTTGCAATACAGCGGCGAATATTGCTAACGTTCAAGTCTAATCAAGTAGTCTGGTGTGTGCATGCGAAAACGTTCCTCTCTCATTGGCCCTTGCAGTTCATGTCATATCTTGGGATCTTGCATATTTATAGGGGCTAAGTGACAAAATGTGGACAGTATCACTAAGGATGAGATTGAGGCGGACGGTCGGATTAAGACGAACGGTCGACGCGTAAAATATTTATTTGAGATGTTAGCAGTATCTGCAACATGGGAGGGAAACCGAAGGGCAAGCTCGACGCCTTATGGAGTATTTAATGAAGAAATTATTGTTTGGGTCCATTTTCAGGAGTTCACAAAGGTAAGCGAGACATGGAAGACCCAGGTTCTTCTCTCCCCCAGTCTCATTACGGCTGATAAGATCGTGCAGGAGAACATTAGAGATGGCCGAGTCCTTGTCCTTGTCCATGATCGTGGAGGAGGCGAAAAAGAAATTCTATCGGGGTCGGATGGTGACCACGCTGATTACGTTGCTGCTTGCGTTCGCCATCGGGTCCGAGACTGCCGTCATCCTCCCCACTGCATGGAAATACCTTCAGACTCTTGGCTCCAGGTCGGTGCTGTTCCTCAGAAATCCCTAGAATACTTTATCGAGTATTTGTATTGTGCCGATGTATGCAGAGATGAGACGGATTTGGGAGTCCTTGTTTCGGCCTTCAATGTGGCTACCCTCATTTCGTCCATCTTCTTCGGCTGGCTCGTGGACAGATGGATGCACCTTTGCAAGAGGGTCATGTTCATCGGTGCCCTGGCGCAAGTCGTTGGGAGCGCCATGTACTTCCTCGGCATCCACAAGTGGTTCGTCATATCGGGGAGATTCATCTGTGGATTCGGAAGCGGGACCCTCACCGTCATCCTGGCCGAACTGGCCAGAGCGACTTCCAACGAGGAGCGGGCCAAGTTCTTCACCTTAAGCTTTAGCGTCCACCAGCTGGGGATTATACTTGGTCCGGCCTACAACTTGGCCTTGCACGATGTCAATTCTTGGTTCGGGTACATTCAGGTGAATGAGGAGTCCTTACCCGGACTCGTCTTTGCTATTTTTTGGTCCCTTGCCATGGTCGTCATCCTTGTTGCATACGAAAATATCGGGGAACAATACATCGCATTGCAGAAGTTGATAGCTGCTGCTAAGGAATATGAAATCGTCCGATATGGGACGTTTTTGCGTTCGCCAAGCGACGACGCCAGAGACTTAGCAGAGCACAGTACTCCTAATTCCATGATGAACCAGAAGGATTCGAAAGCTAAATCCATCGACTCCGTGCATTCTTCGACTCCAAGTGAGAAGAAGGTTCGGAATGAGAATGCGCCTTATTATCGACTTGAAGACTCAGAGGAGGCAGCCTCCTGGATGGATCTCCTCATCGACACGATCGTCGTCATCCTTTTCATGCAGACGACTCTTTTCTTCTGTCAGTGTCTGGTGGAGACGATCATTCCACCGACCATGCAGACTTATTATGGCCTCGGAACACAAGCCAATTCCTTCTTCTATCTGCTTATTGGCTGTGAAGCGATCATGTCGTATGGCTTCGTGATCGTGATGGAAAATCGACTTCTCGACCGGACTCTAATCTTGATGGGGAATTCGCTGGTCGTGATCGCGCTGATCTCTCTCATGATCACGACCCGCTTCCAGGAATCCCATCCGCATCAGGCTTTCCCGTTTTTCATGGTATCGTGCAGCTTGGTCTTCCTCGGAGTCCCGATGTCCTCGGTGTCCTCGTTGACCCTGGGCTCCAAGCTGGTCCGACCGAACTCTCAAGGGAAGATGCAGGCCCTCCGCCGAGTCGGCAACTCCGTCGGCCTCATTCTCGGCCCTCTCTGGGCCGGCGCCATGGTCTACGATCACCTAATTTTATACGGGGTTACTCTGGCACTGTTTCTCATTCAGTTCTCTGTGCTCATGCTCTCATATTCTAGGATGGTTCCGAATGAATGAATTTATTACTGCGACTGTTGCATAATGTTCTGAAAGTACATTGATGAAACTCAGCAATAAAAATTTTCATCTACTGAAAATCTATCTATCTATATTTTCATCTATATATATATATATATATTTTTTTTTTACTAGCCCATTGTTGCACAAGGTAGCTTCAACATGTATATTGTCAAATAACTCCTACATTATTCTGAAAAACTTATCGCTATCAAGTTCTCTCGTGAGAATTTCCAACATGTCATCCAATGCCTCTTTTTTTTTATTTACGGAATTTCCAATTACATTAGACCGACTCAACCGATTAGATGTGGCAAACTTTTCAAAATATCGATAAAAACAAAAGCCTCTAAAAAGAAATCGTTGGTGCAACGTTGCTAGCTTTCACAAGCAGTTAGGAGTAATTCAAGCCACAGTACCAACCGTCTGTATTGAAAAAAAAAAAAATATTTTTTTTTTTAAGTTGAAATTTCACGTGTAGAACAGCTATGAAACCGCCCATCACCGCGTCTCTGCTGGACAGAAAAGACTTCCGAGCAGCCTGCCAATCATCGCAGGAGTCCGAGAGGCATGGCATCAGTGCTTCTTTGCCGCTTTTTTGCGCGTCAAATTTCCTTTCATATCCGCAACTGGTCCGAAACGTCTGGGAGTTTGTCAGAAAGAATCTCGGAATGTAATTATTTCGAAGTAAAAAAGCAAGAAAGCGAAGAAACTCGTCAACATATCCATAATAATTTTATATAATAAAAATAATGACGATGGCGAAACTATAACCTACACGCGCATGAAGTTCATGATCTATTTATTCTGGGATGAAAAAAAAATCATAATAATCCCTAAAATTAAATAATAAAATCCTAATAATCCCTCTCATCTGATCTTCAACCCCTTTAATCAGTTTCTGGAGTAAAACCCGTGTACGAGAGTTCCTGGCGGAGAATCATTTTTACTTTCTGCAATGAGGATGTGCGAAATCGATACGAAATTTCATTTTTTTTTTGCAAGCCATTATAACGAATCTCTACGGCGCCAACTTTGGGCACGCCTGCCGTGAAAACGCGCCCAATTGATAAACGATCTCCGTGAAATAACCTAAGGGTTTCGAAATCGATCTGGCCGTTTTCGAGGTACTGAGATCAGGTACGAGTTAGTACTTGGTGCGGTACTCATAATTGATACACGATGCGTGTGTATGCGCCCAAGGATTTAGGAATCCAAAAGTTATTTTCTACAACTAAATATCCGCTAAATGTTTGACGTAAAATGAGTTTCGCATCTCGACTCATTTGAATCCTAAAAAAAAAAAAAAAATCCCAGAGCGAACAGAGAGAAGACGATCACACTTTCCGACAAGCTAGAACGTGAGAGCATGAAGGTGCACAGCCAGAGGCGAAAAAATTGTTCAATTGAATTATTAGAAGTTGGGAAAGTGTCAAAATTTTATTTTTTTTATTTTTAGAAATCTCGTCGCATCGCGACTCTTTTCTTCCATGTCCCATTTGCGGAATATACCCCAAAAGGCATTACACATTTCGATGCGCACTTTAGGAGTAACGCTTTCGTGATTTTTTTTTCTTGTAATGGAAAGAAAACGACTCAGCTACAAAGAACTTGAAATATCTTAAAATAAAAAAATTAAAAACAATGAAATTTCGACGATGAACACTATGTTGCGCTCGCCGACATCCCCTCGACGGCCCGGCGCTGACGAGAAGGGGAAGGGAAGCGGGTCTCGTTGGAGGGCTCCCAGAGTCCCAGAGACTCGGCGAGGAGGTCCCTGGCAGAGAAGCGGAACAGTCGTGTACTAATAATACTAATACTATACTATATACTATATAATATACTAATCGTGTACTAATATCTTTCTCGAGGCTTCAACCAGGCTGTTGAGTTCATGTTGCAGGTCTGCTTACGATGGTGGCCTGACGTAGGCTTTCGGCGTTGGCCCGGCGCGGGGCAGAGGGACGGGCCAAAGAGAGCCCAGCGTTGGGCACGCATCGCAGATGTGGGAATCCGATGTCGCCCTTTCGTTGGCCCGGCGTGGGTTTGCTGCCTGGGACATTACTTCGAGCAAGGTGGAAAATCTTCAATCCAAGAAAAAAAAACGCTCTTTCTCGACTGGAGATCCCGGTGCGTTCAGGAAGAGCCTGAAACCCTCGACACTTCAGTCTCTGGACATTGAGGAGCACCAGTAGGTGCTCCTTAATCCAGGAATCCTTAATCCGGTCAAATCCAGGTCGAGCGTCCCTCAACTTACAATCAAGTATCCAGCGATGCAGGATTTCCATTCGCGCTGGTTCCACGGAAGCGGTGCGATAGTAAAATTGACACAAAGGAGCTTCAGGAGCGTGCTATGAAGCCTGTTTCCTGTATTTCTTGTTACTTCTGAAAGAGTCGGCAATACGACAAAAGCGTGAAAGAGCCGATTGCAGTGATCTGGCATCACTGCCAGGAAGTTCATCTTGGTTCCTTCGATTCTCTTGCTTTGCTCCTACTTGCGAATCGATTTAAAAAAGAAATAGAGTAAATTTTCTACTTAAAATAATACAACGGTGTTCTTTGATGGAACCGGGATGGAGTCGGAAACGTCGCGGCGAGTTGGACTTGGGGATCCTCATTTCCGCCTTCAACGTGGCCAGTCTCATTTCATCCATCCTTCGGCTGGATCGTGGACAGATGGATGCACCTCTGCAAGCCGATCGTGCTCCTCGGTGCCATCGTGCAGGCAATAGGATGCATCATGTACTTCCTCGGCTTCGACAATGATGATGACACTGAGATCAAGTACTGATGATGATACTGAGATCAAGTACTGGTTAGTACTTGGTGCAGTCCTTATAAGTACATTCATTAGAAGCAGATCAATGAGTGGATGACACTGATATACGATTCGTGTGCATAGGTACAAGCGTTTAGGAACCAAAAGCGTTTTCTAAGAATAGCCTCGTACAGCTATTTTCGGGAATGGAAGCGGAATCGAACCAGAAAGGACGTGAGGCTTCTCGCATCCGCTCTTCTTTTTTTTTTTTTTTGGTCTTCGGAAAAATCGATGAATGCACGAAGTTATTTTCTTAGCACCTGGGCAAGCACAGGTGCGAATTCGAGCCCGACGGCGCGGGGCTGTCGCCAGTCTCCTCTCGGCGCTGCGACTCGTTACGAGAAGTGCCTCGCCGTATTTTCATGTCCGTTTCAGTTTCCGTTTTTTTTTTTTTAATACTTGCTGCTGGTCCGAGTCTTCAAGCGGGAGTTTGCTCGCGACTCGTACGTGCTATTTTCCCAGAAAATTTCCTCTTCCTCGGTGAAACTATTATTCTGCCCTTTCGCTCCGTGCACGACAACGCGTTAAGTGACTTAATGTCTCCTCCCAAAGAAACACTTTTGGGAATTTTTTTTTTCACGATACGAACGAAATTCGGAGCCAATTCTGATTTTCTTTCCATTTCTACTTCCCAGCAAGTTCAGGCATTTTCACTCTCAAAAAAAAAAAAAAAAGATCACATTCTCTCTTAATCAATCGTAAATAAAAAAATTACAGCTATTTTCTCCTCTTTTCCCAGCGATGCGCCTTTTTAAAATTCAAGTTGCCATTTCAAGTTGCCCTCTCCGGTTTCCCCGTCATTTTTTAAGGCGACACAGGGTCGCGAAGAAATTGCGAAATGCCTCAATTTCAATTGTTCCTCATCGCTGGGCACGATCCACCAGATTCTTCGATGGCTTAACCTAACATGGGCGAAATGGGTGCGCCTCATCCAGTTGGGTCAAGTAGGTGTCCTATGCATTAATCGGTCGACTTTTTCTCGCTCTACTCGACGGGCTCGAATCTAATCTCGGCCCGGGGCCGACACGATTCCACGTGAGCAGGACTTGCGGACCGTGTCGGGCAGATCTGACCGACCCGCAAGCCCGCCTCTGAGCGGGTTCGGCCCTGCTGGAGAGATGGGTTCACCAAAGGGATTCCACTACGAAAGCACGAGAACCCCATAGAGCAGGCAGAGGGGTAAAATTAGAACATTGCATTTGGTCGACTGCCTTCGATTAGTTGCATATTAATCGGCAAGCGTCCGTCCGTCTGAAACACTGCGAGGGTTTCCACCTGGGATTTTCAACCTTCTTTCAAAAACTCTCGCTCATTTTGACACAGGACCTCGGACCTGATCGAAATTCTATCATTTTCGCCCCCCATAACTCGGCGTACGACGGTCGCAAGGATAAATTGAGAGGAGCGCCACCTCCCTCGCTCTCATGGCTGCACATCCTCCTAGTGCATCCATCCAGGAGTGACGCCGTGCCTATGCATCCATCCAGGAGTGACGCCGTGCCTATGCATCCATCCAGGAGTGACGCCGTGCCTATGCATCCATCCAGGAGTGACGGATGTCGGATGACATGGATTGCCATGCTGTATCGGCATGACATGCTGTATCGGGATGTCATGCTGTATCGGCATGACATGCCGCAGAAAACCACGGGCTAGAAACGAATTATGATTTTCCTGACGCTCATGGACCTGGCCTGGCGCAAGATGACCTGAGGATCGTGTTAGTTTTTAAAATTTTTTTTTTTATGAACTTATTATCGTGCCGCTCAGTCTCTATCACATGGTTTTTTGGATTTAATCGCCTCTCAGAACCAAAGAGTCGCGTAGCGACGCGAGCGCAGCGAGTGGTTTAATAAACGGCGCCAACGGGACTTGGTTTCACCCAACCATACTTTCCCCAGACAACAATATAATATAATATAATATAATATAATATAATATAATATAATATAATATAATATAATATAATATAATATAATATTATATTATATTATATTAATATCGATTGAGGCTATGCGACCCACGAAGCGTCCCCAAGACGACCTCGACGTGTCAAACCCTGCATCGTGCCTCCCTCCCGATCCTCAACCATGGCCGACATCACGCCCTCGCACGAAGCCTTCCGCCGACGTCGGCTGGCGACGGTGACGATCGTCATCGCCATCAAACTGGTCCTCGGATCCGAAAACGCCCTCATAGTCCCGACCGCTTGGAAATACCTTCAGGCCCTTGGCTCCAGGTCGGCCATTTTCTTTTTCCATATTCTTGGATTGCTTAAAAATTCACGTCCCAAATATCTATTTACAATTAATTTCCCATGACGAACTTGAAGGGATGAGAGGATCACCAATTTCTGTCAGTAAAAGCGAAAGGCGTCTCGAGGTACCAGCTGCTGGTACCAAGTACCAGCTATTGGTACTGTGAACCGGTAGGAAGAGGAATCCAGAAGGAAAGGAGCCGTCGACGGGCGACGAACTTCCTCCTAAGACTTCGGCATTTATTGACGAAGTAACAGCGACGTTTCATCTCAATCATACTGACATGTAATAATGCGAAAACCATTTTCAATGGCTTTCCCTTTCTGCAAACCCTCTCTACGGGACTCACTAGCGTTAGGCGTAACCAACAGACTGCCTTCACGAACCATTTCAGAGAGGATATGTAACGTTAGACCGATTTGAGGCCTGTTTCGCGTTTCAGGAACCATTTCAGTGGGGCGTGGAACGTTAAGCCCATCTGGAATTCCTCGAACCATTCTCGAATAGGTCTGAGGAGAGAATGCCTTCAAGAAGCGAGGAATCCATGGTACGCGCCATCCCGTTAATTCAGGGATGTCCGGATAAGATATCTGCATGTCCCACAGCATCGATCAATAACTGATAACCGCCGCTTCATTCTCGGCTCGACTCACGAATTCAGCACAAAAATGTGTCATACATTAAAAACAGAAGATTCAGGTGCGGATATGAAGGTTGAAGTCGTCTTGAATCTGGCATAATTTCGGCACGGTATCCGGCAACACTGGGGGACGGCACCGGCGCAAGCACTCTAAGCCTAACCGAACGACAGCTAATTTCATTTTTTTTTTAATGGCGAAATGGAGCATCGCAAACAACAAAAAGCCACTTTTCGTCATTGCGAGTCAATGTCTTTAGAAAAAAAGGAATTAAATTGACATCCTCCAAAAACGAGATTCAATATTCTCCACAATCCCGGGGAGATGGAGCTTCAAATTTGCTGGAGCGATTCTGTGGCGAGAGAGGAAGAAGCATGCCAGATTTCGCTCCTGTCGATGCTCTCAGAAAGGAAGGGGTTAAAAAAAAAAGAAAGGTAACAGGCGCTGCCAAAGCCTTTTCGTGTCACGTACATTCGCGCAGGAAATTGGACTTTTAGCACAAGATCTGCACCCCAATCGCCACGATTGGCACAGGTTGTGAAATGTGCGTGCTTGGTGAATTCCGTGGATTTGTTGATCGACAGAAAGAAAATCTAGCAGAATTCTGCGAATTCTCTCTTTTAACTATTTGAATAGAGAGATTCAATGCATGTGAAAGCTAAAATTTCGACTTGCGAAATTTGAGTGCTCGATATAGATGTTAATCACTTCCAAAATCGAAACTCGAGAAATCTGTTAGTCCCGGGAAGGAAATAGCGTCGGCCTTCTATAGCATCGCCAGGCACAAATGGCCCAGAAGACCGCCACAGCCGACTGCTACCTGCCATCAGCCGCCGATTGGGGAAAGAGTTCGTCAGCTTCAAAAACTGTAGATTTCAATCGGGTGTGAGGGATCCAGGAAACCCTTCATTCACCCGATTCGCTGATCCGGCCCCTTGTAACTTGGAGTTTAATCCTGAAATTCAGTTTAATCCTGAAATCCAGTTTAATCCTGAAATTCAGTTTAATCCTGAAATCCAGTTTAATCCTGAAATCCAGTTTAATCCTGAAATCCACGCGTCGAATAATCGGGAGAAGAAGTGATAGTATAGTTGAGCTGCACCAGACATTTTAATGAGTGCATTCAGCACCTTCCGCAGGGTGACAATTCGAAAGTGCTTCCTTGATTGGTTCGGAATCGTTACATAACTATCGTTACATATCTCGTTACAACGGCAAGATGTACATCACGATTTGAATATATTGTCTGCAGAGACGAGACAGACTTGGGGATCCTCATTTCCGCCTTCAACGTGGGTGGCCTCATTTCCTCCATTTCCTTCGGCTGGATCGTGGACAGATGGATGCACCTCTGCAAGCCGATCGTGCTCCTCTGTGCCTTGATCGAGGCAGCCGGGAATGTGATGTACTTCCTCGGGATCCACAAGTGGCTCATCGTGTCGGGGAGGTTCGTCTGCGGGATCGGGAGCTCGGTCCAGTCCGTCGTGCTCGCCGAGGTGGCCAGGGCCACGTCCAGCGGGGAACGGACGAAATACTTGACCCTCGTGTACGCCAGTTTCGAACTGGGGATTCTCCTCGGCCCTGCGTATCATTTTGCCTTTGGCGATTTCCATTCGAATTTTTGGGGGATTCGCGTAAACGAAGCCTCCCTGCCAGGATTGACTTTGGTAATTTTTTGGACACTCGCTGCGGTCGTCATCTTCGTTGGATACGAAAACATAGGAGAAGAATACATCGCATTGCAGAGGACGATGAAAGCTTCAAAAGATGCTAAAAACGCGCAATACGAGCCAATCTCGTCCCCGGAGCAAGACATCGCCACGAGCGACCTCGGGAACGGCGACCCAGACGAATCCGCGGACGAAACGGACGCTCGGGAGGACGTCCTCCGCCGATCGGCGCGTCCCTCGGACGGCGAGATCCCGAAGGATTCCAAGTCGTTCTCGGACCTTCTCATCGACACGGTCGTGGTGGTCCTATTCGTGCAGGCTGCTCATCTCTTCTGTCAGTCTCTGGTGGAGACGGTCTCCCCCCCGACCATGCAGGCGTATTACGGCCTGGGAACTCGAGCAAATTCCCTCCTCTATCTCCTGATCGGCTGTGAAGCCTTCGTATCGTGTTCCTGGTTCGAAACCGATTCCTCGACCGCACTGTGAACGCGCTCGTTTCCGCCGGGCTCTTTCTCCTCACGATAGCGACTCTGCTTCGGGAATCCCATCGCACGCTCCCGTTCTTCGTCGCTTCTTGCGCGCTCATCTTCCTGGGGATCCCGATGTCCTCGGTGACCCTGGGCTCGAAGATGGTCGGACTGGAGTCCCAAGGCAAAATGCAGGCCCTTCGTCGAGTGGTCTGCTCCATCGGACTCGTCCTCGGGCCTCTCTGGGCCGGGGCCTTTATTCACGATCCAATTTTATTATATGGCGTTAGGCTCCTCATATTTCTTCTTCAAATGACTTTATTCTTTTTCTCATACAAAGAAATGACTGTCTATTGATCACGTTCATGCGTGAAGGCTTTTACGCTTAAATGAAGAAATTCTTAAGCCCGACCTTTCTGATGCGGGCAGCGAAAGTCGCAACTATTTGATTATCCGTCGTGAAATCCTACGATTGATGTCGCCGATTTTTTTCTTACGCTACTGGACTATTTTTCGTTTTCGCTCTCTTAGAATCGAAGAAAGAAATCGCTTATGGGCCTCGCAGGTGGAATATCCAAAAACTCATCCCCCCTTGGGAGATTAAGCAATTAACATACGAGCTATAGCATGTTGCATCGCACGATACATTTGGCTGAGATCGACCGAGTTGGTCCAGATGGTCTCCGATCTACGGCTCCTTGCGAGACTCATGTCGGCCTCGAGACGGGTGACCATAGGATATGAGGGGGAGGAGTCACCTCCTCCCCTCCACCTCCCACCTCCGAGAGACTTCCCTCTGACCTGGACCGAGGAATTCAAATCTTTGACCTCTGGTAGACTCAGGACTCACTCTGTCGTGCTAGTTTAGTGTGTATAATATGATATAGTCAATAATATAATTATATATACTGGTGGATGTGATCCGTCCTTCTCTCTTGCCAACCGGTTGGACACTTTTCCCGGTCAGAGATCTCTCATTGTATAAGAAACTTTTGTTCCTGTCGTCGCACCATCTCGTATTTCATTACGGACCTCACCTACAACAATAGGAATCAGATTACAATCAGCATCATCCACATACGGACACGTCAGGAACGCCCACACCCTTCAAGGACGAACCGATTGATGCCACAGCGTCAACTGGGACCGCGAAACGCCAAGGCACAGGACCCCCACGACGACGGGGAACCCCGACTCAAAACGGAAATGCGAAACTTATTTAAGGTCAAACATTGAGGGAATGCTTAGTGCTTAAGGCCACGCAGTACCCTTTGATTTGGGCTGGCTTGTAGAAAATCGCTCTTGGATTCCTCAATCTTATCAATACCAATATCAATACCAATACCAATACCAATACCAATACCAATATCAATACACACGCATCGTATATCGATGGCATCCACTTATTGATCCGCTTCTAATGAATGCGCTTATGAGTACTGCACCAAGTACGAACTCGTACTTTATCTCAGTATCTCGAAAACGGCAAGATCTATTTAAAAATCCTAGGGTTATTTCACGGAGATGATCGCCACTATTACGAATACGCAAGTAACCGTTCATCAATTGGGCGCGTTTTCATGGTAGGCGTGCACAAAGTTTTCACCATAGAGATTCGTAATAATGGCTTGCTTGCAAAAATAAAAAAATATTGAAATTTTGTAGCGCACGATCGATTTAGCACAACCGCATTGCAGAAGGTAAAAACGATTCTCTCTGACACGACTTCTCGAACACGGCTTTTACTCCAGAAAGCATCACAGCGGATCAATCGGCCGAGAAGACGTTCACTAGGCATGCATCCTCGAATAGGAAAGAAGAAACAAGATCAACTGAATGAAGACCAGGATCAAGGTGACCCCGTACAACGGGAGCGGTTCGTGGACGAGGGACCCGGCCCAGAGAGGGCCGAGGATGAGCCCGAGGGAGGTGGCGACCCGGCGGAGAGCCTGCATCTTCCCTTGAGATTCGGGTCCGATCAGCTTGGAGCCCAGGGTCACGGAGGACACGGAGGCCATCGGGATTCCGAGGAAGATGAGGGTGCAGGATGCGATGAAGAAGGAGAGGGCGTTTTCCGAGTGGGGCTTCAGCACCATGGCGGTGACCAAGTGGAAGATCAAACCGATGACGAGTAACACGTTCCCTGCCAAGATCACGATCCGGTCGGAGATTCTTTTTCGGACCAGAATCACGAAGGCGAACGACAAGATCGCTTCGCAACCGATCAGAAGATAGAATAGGGAATTGGCTTGGGTTCCGAGGCCAAAATTCGTCTGCATGGTCGGGGGGATGATCGTTTCCACCACGTATTGGCAGAAGAAGAGAATCAGCTGCATGAAAAGGACGACGACGATCGAGTCGAGCAGGAGTTCCCGGAAGGACGAGGAACCCTTCTGGACGAGGGGGGTTTCTTCCTCGTCTAACTCGTCGTCAACGTATGGGAGCGGAATATCGTCTGCTATGCTTCTCGTTTCGGTCAAAGGTCGCCGAGCCCTCGCTCCGGCGTTCGAGTCACTCGAATTCACGTGATTCGAGTACAGGTCGTTCGCGTTGTTCGTGGCGGTCGGGTCTCCGTGCTCTGCGAAGGCTCTCTTCTCGCTGTCTTCCAGGGACGGATACGATAGGAGTTGCACGGTTTCTGAATCCCCTTTGGCTTCGAGCGTCCTCAGTAGTGTGATGTACTGTTCTCCGATGTTCTCGTATCCGAAGAAAATAAACACCGAGGCGACAACCCAAAAGACGGCAAACACTAATCCGGGCATGGACTCTTCGTTCACACGAATATTCCCGAAATTCGTATTCACCCCGTGTAAAGGCAAATTATATGCAGGCCCGAGGAGAAGCCCGACTTGACGACAACCGAATCCCAGAGTCAAATATTTCGTCCGCTCGTCGTTCGATGTGGCTCGGGCCAGTTCGGCCAGGATGACCGTGAGGGTCCCGCTTCCGAGTCCGCAGACGAATCTCCCCGAGATGATGAGCCACTTGTCGAAGCCGAGGAAGTACATGATGCTTCCTATTGCCTGTATGATGGCGCCGACGAACACGACCAGCTTGCAGAGGTGCATCCATTTGTCCACGATCCAGCCGAAGAAAATGGAGGAAATGAGACTAGCCACGTTGAAGGCGGAAATGAGGATCCCCAAGTCCAACTCGCTCCTACAGAGAAAGCAGGAAAAGCATGAATGACGAGAGAGAATGCCGTGAAAGTACCGACAGCCGTGAAAGTACCGACGTGGAGCCGAGGGACTGAAGGTACTTCCACGCGGTCGGGAGGATCACGGCGTTCTCGGCTCCGATGGCGAATGCCATGAAAAATATTATGACCACGGTAACCCAACGGCGTTTTCGGAATTGCTTGATGGCCTGATCCTTCAGGAGTGGCGTGGACTCGCCCATTTCCGTTTATGCTTTGTGCCTTGTACCTGCTGAGTGATGTGACGAGCCTGTTTTGAAGAAAATGGGCGTAGAAGAGAATCATAGGGAAATCGTGATCGGTTGTCATCGTTTTAATTGTACCCTAGCAAATAATGGGGTTCTTCGGGAATATGAATAATATTTTCATATTAACCCATTATCTTATGTATCCTAATGATTTCTGTTTGAAGAGACAAGTTCCGGGAAACCAACCCATTCGGCACAACAACGTCGTGTCAATATTGAGAAAAGGCTGGAACGTTGAGACTTTGTTGAAAAGTCGACGAAGAATCAACATCGATGTAAATGCATTATGATGACTATTTGTCATTAACCGTATTTTCAGCATTTGGCGACTACTCGTGAATTAGCGAAGTCGTTCATAGGCCATTTAGCGCAAATTCGTTTTCCATCATATTCTCAGTCATTTCTACGTGGAGTTATCATCATATCAACAAAAAATAGGATCTACGAATCGGCACGAGATGGCGCCAAACCGCCGATTCAGCGATTCTTACCTGTTGCCCCGAAATAAACAGTACCCTCTATTTCTCATACAGAACCCGATCTTATGATACTTCAGGCTAATTGTCTCACAGGTTTATGATACTTCAGGCTAATTGTCTCACAGGTTTATGATACTTCAGGCTAATTGTCTCACAGGTTTATGATACTTCAGGCTAATTGTCTCACAGGTTTATGATATCTTAGGCTTATGATCTATGCGGATTCAGACATGACCAATCCATTTATAGCATGATAAGGAAGGTGGTTTCGATTATTTCTCCCTTGCGTGCCTGGCTTGGACCCTGATTCGCAGACAGCAGAGCCACCCAACGAAGAAAGTGGAACAAGGGAAATAGGAGAGAAAATCACTTGCTGCAGTGGCTTCACGGCAGAGCTTCTCTCTCATGTGAGGCCTGTGAGCTCCTGTCGTCTTCTCGCAGACGATGTTCATTCAGTGATGTTCGATGGTGAGATACCTTTTTACCAAGGAAGAACGAACATCCTGAGAAACGAAGAATTTATTTATTTATTTATTTTTAAATTATTATTTACCGTAATTATATTTGCCAGAGAATGCAATCTAATTTCCTCGTAAAATCTTTTTATTATTATTATAGTTTGTTTTTTTTTGCTATCCCAAAAGAGCAATTAGCACCAACCGCCCAACAACCATGCGGGGCAGCCGACTTGACATCCAGCGGATTGCTCGGAAATTGGTGTTTTTTCCTATCCCAATTACCAATTGAAACCAAAAGCAGACTAATTGAGAAGGTACCACTCGAGTTCCCTCACTGTTGAGACATGGAATGCAATGGGTCGGGTCGGACCAGTGCCAAGGAAAAAAAGAGACAAATATTTTCCCTCTCAAGCTGTGGGACAATCAACTCTACTGCAATCAAGTTGGAAAGGAACCGTGAATTTCTTTTGTTTGTGCCTAGAGATTCTATTTCCTTCATATCCTATTTCCCGAATACCGGGTGGCGTGAAACAGGACCTAAGACCGACAAAAATAAATTTCCGACGTAAAATGAAATAAAAATTGAATAATTAAAAATTGATCCGTCTTTCGAAGACTGACGCAGTGCCTTGCGAGTAAGCAATGAATGAAGCCGATGAAACAGAGTCGTGAAGGATGCAGGCAGCCGAGCGCTCGTCCATTCATTTTTTGCAATAAAATGCAAATAAAAGATGGAGACCGAATCTTCTGACGCTTCGAGACCTGAAGGACACAGAAACGGGAATCGCTGTGAAGGTCGACGTCCTCCGGTCGTTCTACAGGCAGCCTGGAAGGATGCAGGAGTGGAGCAGCACTGGCAGATACGACATCACAAGCAGCAACCCTGTCCCTGCAGCCGCTTTCCGCCTCTCTCCGTTCGTCGACGGTGGATGGCTGGAAGGGAAGTCGGGGAACTGGATCGGACGGTCGAAAGGATTTAGTAGAAGTGGAAATTGGGAACGAATCTGTTCTGGTGTGGAAATCTCATCCGTGAATTCCACGATTAAAAACGGAATTCGCCGGTTCACAAATGAAATAACGCCAGGGCAAGATAAACTATGCAGCACCTTACAGGAGAAACCAAATTCGAAGCGTCAGATCGTGACGCTCTATTCTCGAATGCAAGCCTTTTTTTTTTTTGCACTTTCGCAGGTGCAAGTTCCTGCATCGACCATCCAGAGCCCGACTACGGAATGCCACGGAAATCGAAACGACAGGAATCTCTCCGAGATCGAAAACCGGGTTGAAGAAGGCGAGAACCCCGCAGAATACTCTCACAACCTGAAGAACGAACGAGGCCAACGAAACTGGGCCGCTCGGCTCCACGGAGATAGCGCGCGGCGCATCTGTCATGTTGGCCTCGGTGGCCTCCGCACCCTCCACTGCCTGGCCCGATGTTGGCCTCGGTGGCCTCCGCACCCTCCACTGCCTGGCCCGATGTTGGCCTCGGTGGCCTCCGCACCCTCCACTGGCTGGCACGATGTTGGCCTCGGTGGCCTCCGCACCCTCCACTGGCTGGCACGATGTTGGCCTCTCCGGTCAAGTTTTTGTATCTGACGCGGGAGTTTCCGGGATGCAAACGAATGGCTTCGTTCATGTTACCTGCCTCCCCAAGCCAACCTCTCTATGCCTACCTACCAGACATGGTAAATACACCTAGACTGGATATGGCGGTCGAAGATCTCACGCCGATTTGAAGGGCTGGCGGCCATTACTGATGGCGTCAAGGAGAAGACGAGGGATTCACCGAGGCGCACTGTAATCATGGTCAACGTGTTCAGGATTCGGATGCTTTGAAAAGACCTCTGACTGGGTCGGGTATCGCGTCTTACACAATGATGAATCGGGCTTGATAACTATTGACCCTTTTGCGGGGTCTAACCTTAGGTGTGGCGGAATTTTCTTAGCCTCGTGTAGACCCTGAGCCCTAACTGCATGGGAAACCGATAATGCACCCTCTCATTATTCAGTGCAAAGAAAATACAAACGGAATAGGAAGCATTAATCAATTTTCAAAATACCATACTTCGTCACTGAAGACCGTGAAGGCCAAAGCCTACGCTGTCTTCGTGGAGAGCGCCAAAACTCAATGCAGTGTGCCGTGAATTGAAAAGCTATGCGTTTATTGGTCGATTTGACGCCATGAGCGATGGCGGCTGACCCTTCTAATCGGCGTGCGGCTGCCTGGCGTTCTCCATTGGCAGAATATTTACCATGTCTTTGGTACCTGCCCATGCTTGGCTTCCCTCCAGTGCCGTGCAGATTGTACGAGTCATATTGTTTCCTTGCGACATCTTATTGTCACTTTAGGTTTTTTTTTTTGGTGGGTGGAAAACTGGAATGCATGAAATACTTATTTCCTAAAATCTTTAAAATTAGATGTTTAATATCTATATTATATCTTTAAGACCGAAAACCATTCTGAGAATTAGACGTTTCGAATACGTCGTCCTCAGAATCGCGAAAGAACACGGTTCACGCGCACACGCATGCGCGCACACGGACACGAGAATCACTCAAGGAAAAAAAAAAAACATAGATCAAAGACGAAGAATCGACCGCATTTGGAGCGGGAAAGCGGGCACCGACAGCAGAGAACCGTATATTCTCGGGAACAGAGAATATCCGGCTTTCATGGGCGTGTGCATCTGTTCATGGGTGCATGAGCAGATGTGCACCTACGCAGGCATGTGTCACGAAGCAAAATGCGAGGTCGACATGGAAAGTGGCGAATGTATGCGAATAGGACACTTCTCTTATTCCTCCCAGGTGTAAGTCTACGGAACCCTTCAAAGGACTAAAATACTATAAAAAAACAATAACCTAAACCAAAAAAATTCCTGAAAGTAATTTCGACCATGATCACGCACAAGGAAGCGAGAAAATTGATCCTTTCTCGCTAGCACCAAGAAATTATACACGGATATATATTTTTGAAGTTATGTGAAAACCAATTTTCAATGGCTATCCCTTTCTTCAACCCTGCTCTTCAACCTCTTCTCTACGGGACTCACTAACGTGAGACCTAGGCCTAACCAACAGACTGCCTTCAGGTCACGTCAAGGCCTAACATTTTTGCTTCAAAAGAAACTCAGTTCTAGACTTACGGGGCCAATTAGGCCTATGAGGGTGAATCCGTGGTCCTCGAGAGATCTTGCTTGCGGACGTGTAACGTTAGGCCAATCGCAGGCCTATTCATACTTTCACGAACCATTTCAGTGCGAACGAGGAACGTGAGGCCTGTCTAGAGTCCCTCGATCCATCTCGACTAGGTCTGAGGAGGGAATGCCTCCGGGGAGCATGGAATCCATGGCGCGCGCCATCCTGTATATTCAGGGATGTCCGGAAAAAATAATCTCCAAATCCCAACACATCGATTGATCACTGCGAATTACCATTTCATTCTCGGCTCAACTCGTGAACTCAGCACGAAAATGTTTCATGGATTAAAAAACAGAAGATCTGGACACCAATACGAAGGTTGGAACAGTCTTGAATCTGGCATAATTTTGGCACGGTATCCGGCAACACTGGGGGACGGTACCGGAGCAAGCACTCTAAGCCTGATTGAACGACAGCTAACTTCATTTCTTTTTAAATGGCGAAATGGAGCATCGCAAACAACCAAAAAGCCACTTTTCGTCAATATCTTTCTCATGGTTGGTCTCCACAACCCCGGGGAGATGGAACTTCAAATTTGCTAGAGCTATTCTGTGTTGAGAGAGGAAAGAGCATGCAAAACTTCGTGGCTGTTGATGCTCTCAGAGAGGAATGCGAGGAGGTTGAATCTTGCTACGGAAGTGAGTCGAAGGAAGGTAATAGGCGCTACCAATAATCAATCAAAGTGTTAATCAATAGGCGCTGCCTATTGATTAACATTTGCGAATATGCAGAGTGTTGCATAAAAAACGCGCACCTAAATTTTTGCGTTCATTTCTCAACTTCCAAAAAAAAAAAAGAAGGGAGAAACGCGTAGAAA